TTTAAACATCTATTATTGTTTTTCTAGATTATGCTAAAAGTGGTATTTGGCTTAAGTATGACGCCGCTTTTTTGGTCATATTTCAACAAAAAATTGAGGCACAGCACTCATTTTTTTACTGCTGGATAGAGAATAAGAAGTTTTATTTTTTATGCGAAAAATCAGCGTGGAAACATTGGCAGTATTCGCAGAAAAAGTGAAATTTGAAGAGTGCATGGTTTTTTCCGCAATTTTCACAAAATCGATTTAAATTCATAATTCATTCCATATATCGCGACGTATGGAATTGACGAGTCGGTTGAATTTCGACCTGAAATCCATAGCAAAATCCCTTTTGTAAAATTAGAATTTTTTTACAGGTCCAATTTACGGACATCGTTTCAACCATGTCGTCTTATTTTTGTTCATATCTCAGGAGCAGATTCAGCTAGCGCCATAATTTTTGCACCAGTAGATAGAGAATTAAAGTATTGTCACTTTTCAGACAAAAAGCTCAATTTCGACGTTATGATTTTTTGCGCTTTTGGCACAATTGGGCTCAAACATGTCCCCTCCTTTTCGGTCATATCTCAAAAACCTTTTAAGCTCGAGCCATCGTTTTTATACCACCAAATAGCGTATTAAAAAACCCATTGTTCAATTAATTATTCCCAATTTAGAAAAACTGGCGCAATTGATTAATTTTGATGTTCCTAAAAAGCTTTGCATAAAAACACCGCTGTTCCTTTTCGCTCTATCTACTGTCGGAAGAAACAAAATCAAGCTAAAAATCATGGTGTATGCGTAAATTCAACATAGATTAATATCGGTATATCACAATGATTAATGAGGAGTTTCGGCAAACTGCACTTGACAGTGATAAAAGCCCATAATGAATTTTAACTGGATCCTTTTACCTAGATTAAACATCTCTCATTTCGCACATAAACGACTGTAGGGAAACGAAATAGGCCAAAAATGACAGGGAATTTCAGCCTAATGAGGTCATTAGACGGAACTGTTTTAAATATCAGGCTTTGCTCGAAATTGTGTAGTTTAGAAAGTATCTCATTTTCCTACTAATGAAAGAAGCGCGCGAAACTGGAAGGTGTCTGGAGCTGAAACGCTGCAAGCAAAAAGGCAGTGAAAACAGGAAATTATGTCATTATCTAAAAAAATATCCGCTTTGCTATGAGTGGTTTTATTTTGCTGAGCAAATTAGGCATTTAAATACTCAGCTCTGATTAATATTCTCTTCACACCCATGGCATCAATGCGGATAAAAAATGGCAAGAATATCCAAATTCCGGGAAACATATCGGCCCATAGGATCCTTAGATGGTTATGTTTTATGGAAACATTGTACCGTAGGGATTCGAAAATAGGGATATTGGGTTCCCCACATTATCTCCACGGATTCTGACTGATTTAGGCCTTACTACGGATACGAGATGTAAGATACTATTATATATAGTTATGTAGGATACTATATAGCTATTCTCAGTGCAGGATTTTTTAGAAGCTGCACGTTCTTTGAAATATTGGGAAATATGGGGTTGCTTTTTTGCTATTCCGTCATGGAACTTTCAAATTCATCCCAGTTTTACGTTGAAAAATGTTCGAGAAATACGCGTGTTACTACAATGAAACTAATATCCAAAAATGTAATTTTTATAATATAATATTCGATACACTTTTTCTTAGGGCTTTTAATAGTTTTACTTGATTTTCTTCACATTTCACTTTGTAAACTTCTACAGTTCAACAAGCATCAACATCCAAACATCACGTCCATATTAGTGGCTGTGATTTCCCACGTTCACCTTTGGGTCACATTTTTAACTTACTGGTACTTAATTGTAGATTTTCTAAACAATGAGCAGTTACCCGAATTAAGTAAACTTTTACATTTTTATTGACCAAAGCTTCTTCAATAAGTGTTCAAAAAATCAAAATTCCATCGTCTCCAGTTTAGGAGCTGTGATTTTTTTAGTACGAATATTCAGTTTTGGGTCACATTTAGGTCTAACCCACAGTCGCAAATGTCGTATAACATCAACGAGTAACGGAAATCACATGAAATTTTGTGCGCATACCAACAAAGGCTTCTTCCAAAAGCTGTCGAAAGTTCAAAATTCCATCACGAGTTCCGCCAGTTTAGGAGCTTTAATTTTTCTAGCAACAAACATACCCTTTTGAACATAAAGCCGGATTTTTTTTGGTATGAACGATGCACTTTTGATCACATTTTCTTTGAAACCCAAAGTTGCATTTTTTTCGACGGGTAATTGAAATCACATGAAGCTTCGTACGCTTATCAACAGAAGCGTCTTCTAAAAGCTTTCGAAAGTTGAAAATTCCATCGCCTCTAGTTTACTAGCTTTAATTTTTCTAGCAACAAACATACACTTTTGAACATAAAACCGGAGTAATTGAAAGTTTAATATTTTATAAAAAATCAACTTCTGATCAGAATGAAATATAATCTCGTACGCTAATTAACCAGAGGCTATTTTATAAATTTTTGGAAGTTCAAGATACCAGAGCTCCAGTTGCAATTTTTTTATAAAATCGACGGGTAATTGAAATGACATGAAGCTTCGTGCGCTTATCAATAGAAGCGTCTTCTAAAAGCTTTCGAAAGTTGAACATTCCATTGCCTCTAGTTTAGGAACTTTAATTTTTCTATCAAAGAACGTTAAGACGGACTCACTGAAAGTTGCAGATTTTTTCATCAGATTTTGATAGAAATCAACGTCTGATCAGAATGAAATAAAATTTCGTGTGCGTATTAACAATAGGTTTATAAGTGTGCGAAAGTTCAAGTACCGCAGCTTCCAGTTTAGGAGTGGTGATTTTTTTTAGAATGAACATGCACTTTTGGGTCACATTTTCGTCTGACCCAAAGTTGCAAATTTTGCATAAAATCAATGAGTAATGGAATCGAAATTAAATTTCGTGCGCTCATCAAAATTTCGTCGAACTAACTGAAAGTTGCAGACTTTATAAAAACTCAACCTCTGATCAGAAACAGATAATATTGTGTATGCTTATTAACAAGCAGCTTTTTAGTGTTCAAAAGCTCAGACTAGCATAGCTTCCAGTTTAGGCCCTGATAGAACTTCAGCCATAATCACTTCCGTTAATCACATCCAGTAAAACCGAGCTTTGATATATTGGATCGATGTTTCGTATATTAAATCCCGCAACAAATCGCTGCCTTGGTGATTAACCAGTTTCAACTTGCAAGTTTGACAAAGTTTTGAGCTTCGGTTAGCTTTCAAGCGATAACTATGGCTCCTCTGAAACCTGATAGCGGCTAATATACCTGATGGAATCCATATTAAACTTTAAATTGTCTTCTACTTGATCAATACGAAACAAGATTGAAGTTGTTTGCGAGCTGAAGATTTGACATGAATTATTAGGAAACATTAAAATGAAAAATCAGTTTATTAAGCGTTTTTCTAAGACGTATAGTTATTTTAGAACCCGGTGGATATTTTACAACTTACGAATTGAAAATATTCCCTTTTGTGCCAATTTGCGCATTATTTCGGCTTGCTTCTTGCGACTTTACCAAGCTGGGTAAATAATTGAGTTGCATTTAGAAGAAACTATTTAAAGAGCTTGTAATCTATAGATTTTGAGGAAACGCTATGGACAAAAAACCTTTAATTTTCTCTTAGAAAAACCCGAGTTTCTGTCGGAAACATTGAGACAATCCATACAAAAGCTTGCTAGCTTAGTATGCAAAATACTGTTTGGCTTTGGAAACTTTTCTTGACAAATCCGAAGACCTAATATGGTCGTTAGTGGGGGTTTTATCAGGTCGTTTATCGGAGTAATATTTTGCCCTTTTCCATTCCCAGCCCCAGATAAAGGCTGTCCTCCGGGAAAGACATTATTTGGTATTGTTATCAAAGGGAAAATCCTATGGTACCTCAGCATAGTGGATTGCAATCTTTAAGCAAGCTTTTAAAAGTTGGAAAGTTTAAAAATGAGTTCTGGAAACTATTTATCGAAGAACAATGGAGGGTAATTTTGAAAATAATGCGACCAGTGGCAGTTCGTAATGAGTTACTAACGTTTGTGGACGTTATTTTAGTTGCAAGGGAAAAAGGAATTGCAGGGAAAATCAGTCCAAAATTACAAATTTGTTGTTTACAATTTTTTACTTTATTCGGGCTCTATCGAGTCTTATAGCGTTTATGGTTTAAAGAAGTCTGCCTCTATGAATGTAACTGAAGGGCCAAAACTCAATTGTGCAAGAATTATTGGCAAATTCATTTTAAGAGAGCATGAAGCCATGCATTTCGCATCTCTGCAAGTTCTTCGGAGAAAAAACCAAATCTCTTAAGCTAAAACATTTGCTCGGTTTCACATCGAAACAGCTTACCATATTTGAATGAGAATAAACCTTGATTGAGGACTGAGTTCTTCTGCGAAGAAACAATTCGATTTGATGGATTGCCCCTAATTGTGTTCGTCTAAACACGCTAAGATCCAGTAGAAAGAGCTAAAATTTGCGGCAAATAAAGTGACAGCAATTAAGATTGAGCACTCGATAAGGGCGGGCGCAATTGTGTCATTAGAGGAACACTTAATGCTGAAGGATCAGCTGAAATGGACGAAATCTTGTGAAAACAGCATCTGCGGCGATCGTGGAATGTTCCACTGAAATCTGATAAGTAATGGATATTTTCAGGTGGAATCGAGTAAATTATTGCCCGATAGAACGAACAATGAAAGCGGATTTAAATTTGAAGACTTGAAAGTGATTCAATATGAACAGTCCGCTATCAACTAAGGGTCTCAATGTCTAGGGGATAAAGTTTCAAACTACCGTGTTTGATTTTTTCAGCAAGCAAATTAATTAAAAGTGGGGTTTTTAATGAAATTTACTGTTTTCCTCTCATGCCATTGAAACATGGAAAACTTTTCATATTCTTAATGAACTTATCGGAAGGCTTAATGGTCTCTTTATTTTCAGATATTCTTTCAAGTGCGGCCCACTTAAACTACTACAGCTTTGTACAGCTTAAATCATCACTTGATTGGTAAGTTTGTTTTTCTTTATAATTTTTTATATTGTCCTGTACATCATTTGCCTTACACGAATTTATTTTTTTATTAGGAAAATAATTTTTGAATACCTATATTTGCTGAAAATTAGCATATTTTCTTATATATATATGTCTCTCCTATATATATGTGTCTTATATATGTTTTTAACTTTTTGACCTCAGAATATTTGTTACTGTTTTGCTTGTTTACTAATGAGTTTCTGCGGGAGTGTTTTACTTTTTTTTTTTCTCACTTTTACGAGAAACTAATTAGGCTTTCAACAATGTCAATTGAATTTATGTTCGTTAGAACTCATAAATGGAAAATAAACCATAATATTTTTATTTATTATGTAACGCTTATCTAATATTTTCTGACAATTTTATAATTGATGGAAGTCCAAAAAGTCCAAAACCATGGAACTTGGTCTCTGCATTGCATTTAAAAACTCGGTATTTAATCTCTTGCGCCTCAAATTTGTATTCAGTTTAAATTAAAAATTAAAATGTAAAACAAACTTTAGTTTATTCATGCTAGGAGTCTTGTAAACATAGAAACAAAGAAATACATTTGCTAGAAAATCATCGCTTTCTTTGAGTTTTGAAAAGATAACTTTTTAATTTATTGTTTTTCATTCGATTTATTTTACGCAAATATTTAAACATTTGCTTGTATATTTTGCAAACTTTATAGGCAACTGAAATAAGAGTAGTCAATTTTTGCTTCTCCAGAGCAAACAACAGATTGCTGCAGGAATACATTCTCGTTTTGATGTTGGGAGAAACGTCTAGAAAAGAGTGCGTAAAAAGTGTAGAAGACGATGCGTTCTAATTTAAGGGATTTGTACAATTGGAAAATTGGAAAAGTAATAATGAAGTAAACGGTTATTAAAACTATTGAGCTGAAAACACATTTAGCTTATATATAGCAAATATTTTTTTTGCTTGTTACTTTGCCAAACTTTATAAACAACCGAAATAAAAGTCTTAAATTTTTGCTCATTAAGAGCAAACAGCAGAATAACTTTCTCGATTTAGTTAGGAATAACGTCTAAACTAGAATACAAGTATAAAAAGTGTAGAAAGCTTTGAGCTCTAATGTGAGCGTTTTGTTCAATTTTAAACTATTAAATTTTAAAAAAAGCACACAACAATGTTTTGGTCATTTACAGGGTGTTGGGAAAAGAGGCTCTAGAAAATGTTAAAATATGTCATCATGTAGCGCAGAATATTGCAGGAAAGTCGAAGTTGCCCTGAAGTTAAGGTACAGATTTTCAACATTAAACATACTTCGTAATGCAACTAGAGGTTTTTTAGAGTCCGAAAATATTGAAAGAACGAGCTTAAGCCACCGAAAATTATCGCTTCATTTCAATACTTTGTAATATTTTTTTGGTTTTGTTGTGGCTGTGAATTTATAGACGAAACACGAATTTTGCAAAAAAGTTAACTTTAAGGATTTAAGGAATAAGGATTTTTCGGGCTTTGAGGTAGTCGAGAGAAATAATTTCTTACCGGCGTTTCGTAGGTGCGAGTGGCTTTCATCTTCAGGGGTGGTTTTCCAACTAATTGTTGAGTAAAATTTAAGTATTATTAGCGTCCCAGGCAAAACAAACCGGAATAATTAAACAAATAATACATTTTCATTCATTCAAAAAACTCGGCTGGATTCTAGTCAATAGATTAAACGTAAAATCCGCCAATCAAGTCCCGAATTGCGATTTAATTACTATGGGTTGGTGAGACATAAATTGGCCCTGTTATTCCTCTCCAGGCCTAATGAATGTTATGCTCGACAAGAAAGCAAGTTTCGAATTCCGGAAACGTCCCAAATTCCCGAACGACATTACAGGAACTATAGGTATGAAGCGGCAATTAATCATTTCCTGTTATTGCGATAGACTGGAGAGAGAATCGCATTCTTTGAGTGACAATCAATTCGAAATTCAACTCAAATTCATTAGCCCAAAAATCACGAGTTTTGAGTGAAATGATTATATTTTCGCCTAGTGATTTATCTAAAAATATGCAAGTTTTTTGGAACTCAAGTTGGGACTGGAAGTAAAGCACCAAGTAAAAAAACCAGTTGTAGCAAAAAAAGGCAAATTTCGAACGTGATTTGACGAAAAATGCCGAAAAACTGCCAATAGATTGAGTAATTACAAAACTGGACTTTAGTTAAAATTCACTAGTTTTTTCTAAAACCCTGATGACAAATTGGGCCAATTAAAACGACATTTCCATCGACATTGCGCTATCAAATAAAAAATATACTTTTCACACTAAACGAAATTCGAGAGCTGGTAATTTTCGATGGGGGAAAAACTAGCCACGTCGTAAATCCAGTTTAATCCCCCCAGCTATTCTGCTAGATTGCGGTAAACTTAATGGCGTCGAACAAAAAACTGGGCCTTAAATCGGAAAGTCTAAATTTAAAGACCTTGCGGATGGCAAACTTCGTGCAGGAAACGTGTTTCGGCCATAAAATAATGGCCGACTTAGCACACACACAAGAAAAAGGTTTCTGGAGCCTTCAAGTGTTGCTTTGTTTGGCGGTTTTACTGTCCTAACTTCGTTTCATCGTGTTTTGAGCTGAGTTTGTCCAAACTCCTGTAGAGTCTCTCATGTGACTTTTTTCTCATTTTCTTCGCATTTTCATTCATAAATTAAATGGTGTCCAGTTTTCTTTGCATGTTGAAGTTATTAAAGAATCAAAATGTGGAATGTTTTTCCCTGTTGAAGTGCCTGCAACTTGCTAATTAAGCTGTAATTGGGCCCTAATAAGTTTTCAATCCTAAACATTCAAATTTGAGTGCAAAAAACTTGCAATTCAAACGTGTTTCGGCTATAAACTAATGGCCGGCTTAGCACACACACAAGAAAAAGGTTTCTGGAGCCTTCAAGTGTTGCTTTGTTTGGCGGTTTTACTGTCCTAACTTCGTTTCATCGTGTTTTGAGCTGAGTTTGTCCAAACTCCTGTAGAGTCTCTCATGTGACTTTTTTCTCATTTTCTTCGCATTTTCATTCATAAATTAAATGGTGTCCAGTTTTCTTTGCATGTTGAAGTTATTAAAGAATCAAGATGTGGAATGTTTTTCCCTGTTCAAGCGCCTGCAACTTGCTAATTAAGCTGTAATTGGGCCCTAATAAGTTTTCAATCCTAAACATTCAAATTTGAGCGCAAAAAACTTGCAATTCTTTGCATTGTCCGATAGAACCTGAATTTGTTTTTCCGGTTTTTTGCTTGTTAAACGAAAATTCCCATTGTTTAGCTTCTCGCCTGATGATTTATGTAGCAGTGAGAACGATGGCATTTTAAACACATAAAATGAGTTACTGAACACGGCGCGTTAGGACATTAAATATGATAAATCTTCCATTTTTTTAAACTTCCCTGTTTTAAATAAACCCTCATAAGAATGCATGGGGAAATAAATTCGTGCGTCACGTACCCCCGGTATCATTTAGGGGTGGATGTGTGTTTTACATATGAATGGCTTTTTGTTCATATCACGTCTTTTGTTCGCTCGAATTTGGAAAACAAATCCAGTATCGAAACAAATGTGGACTCCAATGTTTTGGAAACAGCGTTTCCAGATTCGAAATTTTCTATTTGGTAATTTTTTCCAGAAAATTATTAGTTAGTGTCTGTGTTTGTGTAGGATTATTTTTTTCCCGCAACTCTGCCGATAATTTCCATCCAATTTGCGAATTGTTTAAAGCTACATTTATAAATTCTTAACCGCAATGGAAAAAGGATGAAATTGCAGAAATAAGTGGACTAAAGAAAGACAATTTTGTCACAAAATACGAAAAGCTGCTCCTGTCGAAAAAAATAATTGCTAACCTATTTGAGCATTTTTCATAATTGTCGTGCACTGGATTGAAGCATTAATCAGGCGAAAAGCAAATGCGAAAATATAAAATAAACCACGTAGTTTCTAAGCACATTTTTACACAATTAGGAAGACAACATTTCAGCTTGAGCTGCAGTTTGTTCCAAACATTTGGAGCATTAGAACACAACGTTTCGCCACAGTTGCGAAATACATGCTCAAAAGCTATCAACCGCCTGAATAAAATAAATACAAATATCATCTTGGTGTTTCCGCCTCCACTTATCTATCTCACCGTCTAATCCACATATTTGGGAAAGTAAAAAAAATCGCCCATATATTTTAAGACGATTCTCAACTGTTAAATCCCCAGTGGAGAATTGGCTAATGCAGATAAATAAATTCGCAACTGTCCCGAAAACGTGAGGCGATTACTTAAGGTTAAAATGTTGCCGCAAGGTTAAACTAGAACTGGGTGGCAATTATTTAAAACTTTTAGAAACCAGAGCAGAGCTGAGAAAACCTAAAATATTTAACATTTCAACCTCGAAGCTCCAACTTTCGAGATAAGCGAACGTTTGTACCGTTTTGTTTCAAGACTTTTGCATATCGCAGTTATTATACTTGCGTTTATGGGCTTTATGTTTCCATTATTGAGCAACAATCGCTTCAGTTTTATGGAAAGCTTCTGGTGATTTTTCCAGCGATACGAATATGCTGCTTAATTTAACAGTAATTGACAGTGTTTAAAATGCAATAAAACGACAGAAAATGTTGAAGTTAATGAGAAACAGTAGGATATAATAAAAGACAGACTTTTTTGAGGGTCGGATTTAAGGTGAAGCAATACACTCTATAATTTTCCTTTTCATCTAGCGTTAACAAAGCAAACCGCCAATGTTAGATCCAGCCAAGAGCGTAAGAACGATGGTAAAGGAGCAACGGCGACAAAAACGACTTTTCCTTGATTAAGTCGCTTCTATTAGGATAAGAAAAACGCACTTCAAGAAAATTTTCTTTGATTACTTCTGACATAAAAAAGGTTCAGGGTTCAACTTGCGTAATAAAGATAAGAATAAAAGACATGCTTTGGTGCTGGGGGCGATCGTTTTGATTATCTCACTTCGTCTGGAGTGTTTGATTAAGGTTTCTAGGTCG